TGCTTTTATTTGTATCAAGGTTTTGGGATAATATATATAATTGCTATTAAATTGATGATATAAGTAAAAGTATCATACTACAGTACTTTATGCTGAAAGTAATAATTTAGTTTGTGAATATAATTGTATATATTATGTCAAACTATGTATACTATGTCAAAGATTCAAAAGTGTTATTAATGTCATTGCTTTATGAGTTAAAATGATTATTTTGTAATATATATATATATATATATATATATATATATATATATATATATATATATATATTTTATGTAAATTACTATAATTTTACACATAGAAACATGATTTTTTATTTTGGTAATTATTATAAAATCTCAATTTATCCCTCAGACAAAACCTTGAACTCGCACAACAAATTCTATTTTCAATTACAATTTATAGAAAACTTTTCCCATATTTCGCTCATAAATGTATTTACGATGAAAGGAAAATGTTACATTGTACAGAATAAAAAGTCAATATGGAACATAGTCATTATCCTTGCTCTTCAAAAAATGTTTGTTTGCTTTCTGCAATGTTCTTTTCCAGTTGTTGGAGTGAGTAGGGGACAATTACTGTCATTCGAAACAGCCTACGCATTAAAAAAATACAATCAACAATATTTTAATCAATTTTTACATATACTTAAATATTTAGATATATATATGTATATGTATTATATATGCACATATTAAGTAAATAAATTATAATTTGCACAAACAGCATATAAGAAAAAATTATAAAAACTTACCAAAAAAAAATGTTTATTGATTATTTAGTTAAATACTTATTTCAGCGTTGAAACACATGAACACGTTTATCTTAAATAGTTTATTAAATTTCTTCTTTATACTATTTAATTGCTATATTTGTACAATTAAAGAAATATATTTTTATATATATAATTTTATTTCATTTTCTCACTAATATTTATATATTTTTTATATTCCACTTAAGTTCTACTTAAGAATTTTTGTTTTATTTAGTAACCTCTGTGAAACTTTTTTTTATTATTATTACCTTTATTTTAAAGTAAATATCCTGAAGGATAATACAATTTTACTTATATTCATTTGTATTAGATATATGTAAGATTTTTGTCAATTTTTCCGAGATTGAATTTTTGCGTTGTATTTTTGAGAAATCGTTGCTGAAGACTGAATATTTCATCACAGGATACACTATTTTTATTTGATACTCTGAAAGCTTTATATTGGTTTATCCGGCAGCTTGTGTCAAAAGTTCATTCTCATTTTATTAACTCTCAGTTAAATATTTGACATTTCTTTTTATTTTGACATTCGTTATGTCAAACGAGTTTGTTTTCTGTTTTGTTATTTTTCGTTATTGTTTTTAGATTTTGTATATTATTCTTCTTTAGCACTGTTTTTGTTTTGAATTTGATTTCCACACGTGTTCAAAAACGGAAAGAGCTTTCTTCAATGAAAAGCTTAGTTCTTAAGGACATTAGGATTTGTGTTGACTACAAAGCAAATGAAAAAAAAATATTGATTAAGTACATTTTAAATTAGCAAACATTTTAGCAAGAAATATTTAAAAGTGGTGGGTTGGTCTACGTTACATTTAAACATAGTAGGCGCATACTTATGTGGAAGTTATGTTAGAGCATGTACCCAATGTACTAGTACTTTTCTCTTAAATAGTGTTAGTTTATATTAACATTGAAGTTCATGAAAATTAACCCGATGAAAGTTTTAGAGTCAAACCTAAGAAAAAAATTTAGAAAATCGCTACTATATAAACATATGACTTATTACTTTATCATATGAGCATATGATTACAATAAGAACACATGATTTCTATGACCTTAAATGGTAATTTCTTTTTTTAAAAGAACAAAAAGAAAAGAAAATAAAAAGAAAAGAATTTTAACAGAAAAATTTGTACCATTTTTAAAAAATTGAATATTTTTTCGATATTCTTTTAATATGTTTTTACGATTAATTTTCGTTAAAAGTTTTATGTCCTATGACAAATTTTAAATCGAATAGAGAAGGGATTATAAACAAAGTAAAGAAATATAGTCAAACTTCCATAACTCGAACTTCTATAACTCGAATTTTCTATAACTCGAACCAAAAACAGTGCACGAAAGTTTTAGAGAGCAAATTACATACAATTCTGCTTCCATAACTCGAACATCTATTACTCGAATTTCTCTAGAACTTGAATAAAAATTTTGTTCCGTGCCAGCAGGAATATGGGAAAGTGCATTCTATAAGTCGAATTTTTGTGTTAAGTATAAATGCATTTTGCTTTTAGGAGAAGTTCCTTTTTCCAAATCAAATGTTTAATTTTTTCTTTCTTATGTTGCTTCTTTGTGCAAATGCCAGTCTCTGGTTGCGGGGTTTAAAGTAAATAAAATAACTTCCTTTTAATGCTACTCTTATAATAAGCTTCACAATGAAATTTGTACATCAAGCTTTCCTACAGATGACGATATTATTGAGCACTATAGCTCTAAATTACTGGATTCAATTTTAAGCGTAACGGAAAGTTATGATGATGGATGTAATTCGGTGAATGTAATTGTTCATCAGCCTTCTAAAAATGAAGTAGAAGACTGATTCAATATTCTGAATTTATATTTGCAAACGAATGATACTACAACTGATGATCACTATAAGGCTTTAAATAAAATGGAATGTCTTTTTACTGAAAATACCAAAAAAAAAAAAAAATTAAAATCCCAAATAATTTCTAATTATTTTACTTCACTATAACTTCTGTGCTGTATTTGAGTTTAAATAAATAAATAAATAAATATCTTAAAATATAATTCTAGTTTCTTTCAAAAATAAAAAAAAAATAAAACAATTCTCTAACTCGAAGTTTCCATAAGTCGAACATTTTCTTTTCAAAATTGGACTTCGAGTTATGGAAGTTTGACTGTATTTAAATTCAATATCTTGTAAATATAAGTTGTAATTTAACGTAAGATTTTTCAGACGAAAGCGACTATTATATTTAATAGAAACTAGTATATTTCATAGATAAAACTCCAGAAAAATGTGCGAACATAAAAAAAAACAAGTCAATACGGCTTTGGGTCATTTGATTAAATTGCGCTGACTCTGAGGTTCAAATTTGGCAGGATACAAGGTCAACCCTTGATACTTGCAGTCTCAAAAAATTATTTGCGTATCAATATATATAAGAAATAATTCCTAGACCACTGATGTTGGGTATATGACAATACTCGAAACAGCTGTAAATTGTTAAATATCTATTTATGAAAATGTTGCTGTTAATTATTAAATTATATATCTAGGGCTTTAAAAAACTATTACTGAAACGCATTTGATTTAGTTATTCAAGTTCAATTTTAATTGTGAATTTATAAATAACAATTACATTTGCTGTAATATTTATAGAACTAAAGCATAAACTGCATCTATATAAATTTACTTAAACTCACTAAGCTAATTAACTTAACTTTTCTTACATCTAACTTTTAAATAGTTTCTTCTCGTCAT